AGTAGTAGTAGGTTTAGGGTTTTGAATTTGAAAAGGAAATGAAAAGAAACGAAGATAATTGAACTGTGATTGTTGGGGAACTTGATTGAAACTGGAAAAAGAGAAAACAAAATTTTTATGTGGGCCCCACTAAAAAGAAAAAGTGAGAAGATGACAATTTGACGTGTAAAAAATGCCACGGTGTAAAAAATGTCTTTGCTGGATTTACACATCATTAAAATAAAAAAAAAACCGGTGATTTTGTGGCATCTTAACGAGCCACTTGGCATTTAACTGACAGAAGGACCATTTTGGTATTAAAAATGAAAGTTTAAGGATAATTTTGGTACTTTTTAAAGGTGAGGGACAATTTTGGTGCCAAAGTGAAAAGTTGAGGGACTAAAATGGTACTTAAACCGAAATATAGTAGTATTTTTATAGATTGAATTTATATACGTAAAGAAATTTAATTTAAAATTATTAAGATTAAGATTAATATGTGTAGTTATTGACATGTATGGTTATTAGTTGATATGTTAATATACTTTGTCAAATTGAAATTCAAATTAGGTAATTAAATGATGGACGACCATAGTTGGATAGATCGTTTTGTAGATGATAGTGGTTTTGTTACTGATGAATTTAAAAAGGGGGTGCAATTTTTTGTGAGATTTGCATTTTCAAGACCGAAAGCAAAATCAGAGATTAAGTGTCCTTGTTTGAAATGTAAATGTAGAAAGTGGGGGAATCCTGAGGTTGTCTCTATGCATTTGTGTAAGCATGGGTTTATGAATAACTATTATACATGGTATGTTCATGGAGAGATATACAACAATACAGTAAGAAACTTTGAAGGGGAATCTTCTAATATGGAGTTTGTTAGAAATGAGATAGATGCATTGTACCATAAAATGATAGTTGATGCAATAGGTGCACAGTCTGAATACAATGAGGGGCTAATGGCTGAGGAGCCAAATAGTAAGGCAAGAGAATTTTATGATCTCTTGCATGCTGCAGAAGTTCATATAGGTGCTAGGGGACAGGATGTTACAGTACTTTTATGGATGGTAAAAATGCTAAACATGAAAACTCTTTATAATATAAGTGCTGCTAATTGGGAGATAGCATTGTCATTAAGTCGAAAGTTGTTGAGTTTAGAGGACCAAGAAAAGGTGCTAAAGGATTTCTACAGTGCCAAAAAAAAATGATAAATGTGCTTGGACTTGGGTACAAGAAAATTGATATTTGTGTCAATGATTGCTTCTTGTACTATGATGAGCAGAGTAAGAATTTAACTGCTTGTCCAGTATGTGGAGAATCCCATTATGAGCTGAGGAATATGTCCGCTATAAGGCAGAAAGATGTTCCAAGGAAATCTTTGTGGTACCTTCCAATTACCCCAAGATTGCAGCGACTATACATGTCTAGGAAAATAGTAGAGCGCATGATATGGCATTTGAAACATCGTGAGGATGCGGATGAAGTTATTCATCCTACGGGTAGTGAGGCATGGAAACACTTTGATGAAACCCACCCAACATTTGCTAAGGAACCTAGAAATGTTAGACTTGGCCTCAGTACAAATGGTTTCAATCCATTTGGTTGCTTTGCAACACCTTACTCTTGTTGGCCTATTTTTCTTATGGTGTACAACCTTCCTCTTGAATTGTGTATGAAGTTAAAGCATATATTTCTTGCCATGATAATTGCTGGACCCAAAAGTCCAGGAAAAAACATTGATGTCATGCTTAGGCCATTAATTGATGAACTTAAGGAATTGTGGACAAATGGGGTTGAAACTTATGATAGTTTCAGGCAACAGAATTTTATCATGAAAGCTGCATTGCTATGGATTATAAGTGATTTTCTAGGTTATAGCATGTTATTTGGATGGAGCACACATGGGAAGTTGTCATGCCCTTATTGCATGGAGAACACTAAGGCTTTTCAACTTCAATATGGGAGGAAAACATCATTTTTTGATTGTCATCATCAATTTCTACCTTCTAAACATCCATTTCGTAAAGATAAGAAAAATTTTTATCTCAATAGAGGTGAAAAAAGCCATCCCCCCCCCCAAGACTAGATGGTACTTCGATAGAAGAAAGGGTTAATCAGCTCCCTGACATAGTCTTTGGCTAGCCACGTCGTAAACATTCAATTGCAGGATTTGGTGTTTTTCATAATTGGGTGAAACGTATTGTATTTTGGGAATTGCCATATTAGAAGGATTTATTGATTCATCGTAACCTTAACGTCATGCATTGTCAGAAGAATTTTTTAGATAACATTAAAAATACTGTCATGGATGACAAAGGTTGTACGAAGGATAACACCAATGCTAGATTGGATCTACAACTCTATTGTAATAGATCTAAATTAGAATTGATACCTCAAGATGATTGGACAGCTATAAAACCCAATGTTACATGTGTTCTTACTCGAGAGCAACGAGCTCTTATCTATTAATGGCTAAAGGAATTGAGATTCCCAGATGGGTATGCATCCAACATAGCACAATGTGTTAACATGCAGAAACTTCGATTATTTAGGATGAAAAGCCATGATTGTCATGTATTCATGCAGTGTTTCTTACCAATTGCTTTCAATGATTTCCTCATAGATGAAGTTTGGGGTCCCTTAACTAAGATTAGTAACTTTTTTAGAGCTTTAACTGCTCCGATTATTCAAGTTAGTAACATGAAGATGTGGGAGGAAAACATTGTTGAGACCATTTGCAAGCTAGAAAAAGTATTCCCGCCAGCATTCTGTGACTCGATAAAGCATTTGGCTATCCATCTACCATATGAGGCAAAAGTTGGAGGACCTGTCCAATTTCGTTGGATGTATCTTTTTGAAAGGTATATTTCTTCTAATATATCTTTGCATCACAATAACATTCATAAGCATATTTAATAATTTAATGTTATTAATTAATTTTCTTATTTGTTTAACAGAAAAATGCATGACCTTAAGAAAATCGTGTTAAACAAAAATCATCTTGAAGCTTTGATTTGCGAGTCTAATATTCTTTTAGAAATTACCTTCTTTTGCTCGCATTATTTTGGATTTGACATAGAGACAAGATTGAATCGTCAACCAATAAACATTGTCGGTGTGAATGATATACGGATAATTGTTTGTCTGTTTTTAAACATCGAGATCAACCACTAGGTGGAGAAATGCATTGGCATGCACTGTCACCCAAAGAATTAAAGGCAATAGAACTTTATGTTTTGCTTAATTGTGAAGAAGTCAATCCATGGATTGCGTATGTTCTCTAGTTCTAACTTTCATTTGTTTAAGTTACTAGTATGTATAGATTGTTTACTCCAACTTCTTCATGTAGCCTTTTTGATTATCAAGTATGTTCCAGTCTATCAGACGATCAAATTCAAATCAAACGATAACTTGAATTTATTTCTTGGTTTAAGACAACGGTAAGTAATTTATTTTAATAATTTTTATTATTAAGATCTCAATTTTTATATATTTTATGGTTAAATATTAAATATTTTTATAACAAATGTAAGTGCATAGTGGAAGATATGAGGTTAATTCTCGCCTTTTACTTTTAGTAATTGGCCTAGTCAATAATGTTAAGGTATACAATGGTTATTGGGTTAATGGATTCCGGTTTCATACTATCAAATATGGACAAAATAAAAAGACCATGAATAACGGTGTTTGTGTGAAGAAAACCACTTTCAATGATGAGTCAAATTATTATTGGAGTTCGAAGGAAATAATTGAGCTTCAATATTTTGACTCATATGTTCATCAATCAATGATTTTGTTCATCAATCAATGATTTTATTCAAGTGTGATTCGTATGATATCAACAAAGGCATCGTGGTCCATCCGACATTTGGTATAGTTGACATAAATCCTTGATTTAAATTACAAATAGATGAACCATTCATATTGGTCAGTCAAGTTATCCATCTCAAAATCCTTGTAGAAAATGGTGGTTTACTGCATGTAAGATTAGAGTAAGAACAATAATTGACACTTCATCATTGAGTGATGGTGGAAATGTTTATTATCAAGATGATGAACCTCCTATGCCACAATTGGTGCAACCCTCAACTGTTTTAAATGATCATGTTTCACTAGCATCTCAAGAGGAAGAACAAGTGGTGATTAGTAAGGTCATGCAATTGCCATATGTGGTAGAGGAAGAATGTGTGGGTGAGAATGATGATGAAGAGGAAGAGTTTGATGGAACAGAAACATCGGAAGAAGAAGTTCCAAATTACTTAACTGAGAGTGATAATGACTAAATGTATCTTATTTGGTTTTTTTAATTAATTGAACAAGGGATGAAGGGCTACTTATATTTTATTTATTATGTGTTTCCATTAATGACTTTTATATTTATATTTATATCAATATACATTTATAATTCTTTATATTGATATTTATAGTGAAGTTATATTTATATTGATATATATCTATTTACTTATAAATATATATTTCATATATTTATAGTTATTTATATATATTTAGTTGTGTATTGATATTTATACTTTTCATTTTTTTCTCATTTTTTAAATTATCATTTTAATCAAATGTATGATTTTTTTTTCATATTGTATTAAACTATTGAACTTATTTAATGAGTTTGGTTGCTGTTATATCTTTATCTAATCTAAAAGTTATTAATTGAATATTTTTATATTCTATTTTTTTATTTTATTCTTTAAATTTTTTGCTTTTCTTCATGAAAACGAAGTTGATGTGTTTCCATTATTTTTTGTATACAAATATGAGACGAGGTAGACGAGGTGCATCTTCTTCTAGCCAGCAGGTTGATCCAGAGGGAGAACCATAGAGGCAACTTCGTCGTCTTATTCGGGGGCTTTGTAGGGCTATTCCTACACAGTAGCAGCTACCTAGCTTGAGCCAGCCTCCCGCACAGCAATAGCTTTCCAGTTTGACTCAGCTTCCCACACAACTACAGTAAGAGCAACCCACTGTTACTCAGCCACCATTGGACGATGACTAGTACCCTGGTGATGATGCAACAATGGAGGAGGACACTGAAGAGCATGATTTAGAGGCTGAGTTTGATGCTGAGTTTGCTGTGCTTGATCCTGAGCTAGATGCTCAGTTGGAGGAGGAGCTATCACGTGTTGTCCCGAAGACAGGACGTGGCATGGATAAAGGAGATGATGCTTCTACAGACTAGAGTCAAAGGAAGTTGCTTAGCCTTAATCGCCGAGGCACATTCAACCATGAGAGGTTTGGGAGGACTGCCACAATAATATGAAAGTACTTGTATGATTAGCTAGTGCTTTTTTGGTCTAGCTGGCCTGAGGAAAAGAAGAGGGTTGCTTGGGAGAATTTCCAGGTATGAAAATTATAGAATAAAATGAAGTATTTTTTGAGAATTTATTTAGATGCTATCATTTTATTTTATGGCATTTGATAT